ATTCTACATGGTATATGTATAATATACAAGTATATACAAATATTTTCGAGTGCAGGTATGTATATTTATAAGTAGATATGAATAGTATTGTAGTTAAGAAAGGATCTTTAGTCCAATATATACTTGTACTTAAAAATATGGTAAATGTACCTACATTTGATACTTGATTTTTTCAAAGATATAAGAAATGCTAACGTTAAATGCAGCCGAATTTTTTATAGTGTAGCCGTATGAAAACAACACGTTTGGAGAAGTATTTCCCGGTGTCAGCAAAACTTTTCAACAAAAAACATCCATGGCCAAAAGATCTTTGAAAGCAGATTGCGAGTACACCGAAAAATCACGGCTGACAAGTGAAAATTACTTTAAATGGCTTTTTAAGATGGAGAAAATGTTCAGTTGAAAAAGATATAGAGCCTACTTAATACCCTCCCAACATTATCTCGGTATTACAGCCAATGGACTAAGATATTATCCAAAGCGCATCAAACTTCTCATACCTATGGGGTGCAAGCAATTTCTAAGCATAATGCTGGAAACAGTTACCGAGGCAAAACCGTAGAACGAATCAGTTGATACGACATATCTTATGAGAGCGTAATGTAAATGAACACTCACAGTACAGTAGGATATCCGCGAAAATTGGATTCTTCCCGTAGAAACGAGTGAGATGAAAGGGAGAGAGCAATCTCTTGCAACGCAGGGCTGTCAATCTCGATATTTTGTAGTAATTAAAAAATAAACTTGAATATTTGAAATATTCTTAAAATAACTCAAAATCACATTCGCATACATTTATTTATAAATAGGTAGATTATTTTTAATAGTTGGATTTTACTTTTGAGCCTTTACACTATGAAAAATTAGAACTAGAAAACTAAATGTGTGAAAAATCGTGTATACAAGTTGAACAGTGGCAACATTGGTCAAATGAAAACAAAAGAGAACAACTGATTTCTACGTTGGCACTACTGGCATTAAGGATAAGGATCAAGGATCCATGACTGGCATAACTTTTGGCAAATTTGGTTTAGTACGGGAGAACAGAATGTCGGTGACTGTTTGATGTTAAATTTCCAACGCAACTATTGCAATGAAAATACAGCGTCTACCAATAGGGATGACGCAAGTTCGCGTTCTCCAAAAATTCACAAATTCACGTTTATCGAAAAATCATCTTCTCAGAAACGCAATTGCATCCACAAAAATTTACCGTTTGGTGCGGATTGTGGTATGGCGGCGTCATCGGACCTTATTTCTTTCGAAATGAGGCGGTTACCATTATTAGCGTTATAACACGATGTTGTTTACCTTTTTACAACGGAATTTGATGAAATCGACTCGACATTGCGTGCAAAGTTGGCGACTCGTTAATTGCGAGAAATGGCCCAGTCAAATGGCCGCCAAGATCGTGCAATTTAACGCCTCTAGATTATTATCTCTGGGGGTATGTTAAATCAAAGGTTTATGCCAATCAACTAGCTCGAGGAGCTCGAAGACAACATACTATACCAAAATTATAACCGAAAAACTGCACCGTGTCATCGAAAATTGACGTAAACGGGTGGAGATATACAAACAGAGCCTTGGTAGCCATTTGGTTATTTGGCGATTTCAGCTTACGAAATTAATTAAAGGAGCTGCTCCGCAAGGAGAAGAGTGGTTACAACCTCAATAGGTTTAAAGACAAAATTACTCTGGGCACAACACAGTAAAGAAGCACTTGTTTAACATAAGTATAGCCTCATGTGCAAACTGACGATTATGCGACATGAAGCGGGAAGCACTTGATTCTAGACTGCATAGCAGTTTGTAGACGCTGGATCGAGACTCGATCCACTTGATTCTAGACTGTATAGCAGTTTGTAGACGCTGGATCCAGACCCTTGGACCTATTTGTTCGAATAAGGATCACATTGCCTCTATAGCACCCAGCAGATTACTGGAATTCATCAGAATTGAGGGCCTATGTGAGTCTGTGTGATAAAGGGGAGGGCACAATAGACCTTAGGTCGAGGCGCAAGTCTCAACTTATTTTTAGATATCTAAGGAAATTGCAAAATTTTCTAATCCGTGCAATGGCACAACAACAAACCTCACGCAAAAAATATATGCATAAACGGCAAAATATACTACTCCAAATCACCTGTTAATTTTCCGGCTATAGTAAAATAACTGAAGAAGTGTGATCACAACAATAAACATATTTATATATACAGGCAGCCAGGCGGCTTTGAAATCACTAAAGTCTCTTAGGGTTTCGTCAAAGTTAGTAAAAGAATGCATTGATTTCTAAGTGGATCTGACATCCTATTTCACACTAAACCTTCAATGGGTCCCAGGACACAGTGACATCCCCAGGAATTGTGTAGCAGATGAACTAACCAGAACAAGCACTACACTACAATCAGACTCCGGAAAAGAGGGAATTTATATGCCTCTGCCTACTTGCAGATATATTTGCTATATTTTTTAAATTCTCTTAGGGCCGTTTTCTCAATACCCAGTTAATATTATCCGTAACCGCTGGTAGCTTAACTGGATGATAGCTTTAACTGACAGAACCGTTTTCCCCAAGTTGTGGTTAGCTTACCAAAAATAATTTGATTATTGTGAATGCACAAAACTTGCAATGTGTAACATGCAAAACTTTGTAAGCGTCATGATAATAATGCATAACATCAGATATTTCTTATAAATTTTACAGCTAAGAGCTGTCATTTCATGTTCTGGTTAGAAATTAACCGACTCCTTCTTTCGGTGAAGTTGAACAGAACTTAACTGACAAATAGGTGCTAACTCGATATTGAGAAAACTACTTTTCAACATGTTGCCGATAAAGTTCTGGTTAAGCGCCTCATACTTCGACAATTATCGATAAGCCTCTTTTACGATATTTATCTAAATTTCGTGTAAACGTCAAATAAATAGCAGAGAACATAAAATAAACGTTTTCTCTGGTAAATGCCGGCATTTGACATTTCTTTGTCCTCTTCTCCCATTTTATCTCTTCAGTTGGGACGTAATAAAAGAAATTAGTGTAATACCACGTAAGCCCAATCAACTAATCTTGTTTAAATTGTTGAAATGAGGAAAATGTATAAGTTGGCCTCATTAAAAATCCTGCAATTGCAGCTACTTCTATTGGCAGTAATAGTAACGTTATCCGTAGCGGACGTCCCTCGACCGGTAGGTGTACCGCTATACAAGGCTTCGTTATACAGTCCTCGCTCGGATAAAAGTTGGGTATGTCTAGATAACAAAAAAACAATTCGTCATACACAAATAAACGATGATTTCTGCGATTGTGAAGATGGTAGTGATGAACCAGGAACATCAGCTTGCTCAAATGGTATTTTTAACTGTGAAAATGTTGGATTCCGCCAAGAAGACATACAAAGTTCACGTGTGAATGATGGAATATGTGATTGCTGTGATGGCAGCGACGAATGGGAGGATGGTGGTAATAAATGTGCAAACATTTGTTTAGAGTTAGGACGTGTAGAGGAAGAGATAAAACGATCACTAGCAGATTTGCATAAGCGCGGTAGTGAAATACGAGCAGAACTGATTAGCAAAGGTAAACAAATGCGCACCGAACGTGAAGCAAGACATAAAGTACTGCAACAAAGACGTAATGAGCAGGAAGCAATTAAAGCCGAAAAGGAAGAATTAAAAAGAAATGCAGAAGCCGCCGAAGCGGAAGCACTAGAAATATACAAGGAGCAACAGCGGGAAAAAGATGCAGCTGCGGCCGAAGCAGCAAAAGCACTCGAAGATTCACAGACCATGCGGTATGAGTCTGAAGCGGCATTTATTAAATATGACACGAACAAGGACGGTTTTGTTGAAATAACTGAATTAATGGTAGACATGACACTCGATCGTGACCGCAATGGCATTGTAACTGTTGAGGAAGCCAAATATTTCCTCGATGAACGCGATCGCATCGATTTAGATTCATTTTATGATTTGTCGTGGCCACGCATTAAACCGATTAAGATGTTGGCTGAAGGTATTTTTAAACCACCAACCTTAGAAGACGTTGAACAACCAGAACACGAAGACGTTGGAGAAGAAGAGAGTCAGATGGACGCCACAGCATCAGAGCAACCCTCAACCGAAGAAGGTAATCTCTCATATTAATCATCACACCCAATTTTTAATTATTATTATGTTATGTTTTCATAATTTACTATATAGGGCGTGAGCATGAGGATGCTTACGGGGAGGAAGACCTTTATGAGGATGAAGAAGGTGAAGCTGATGTTGGTGTAGGAAGTGTGGCAGACGCAACACAACCGGAGCCTGATTATGATCCTGAGACTAAACATTTAATAGATCTGGCGAACGAGGCTCGCAATGCTTATTCTGAGGCTGAACAAAAAGTACGAGAAATCGGAAATGAGATTAAAGATATTGAAGATCATACTTCAAAGGATTATGGACTTAATGAGGAATATGCTGCACTGGATGGTGAATGTTTTATATTTGAAGATCGAGAATACCTTTATACGCTTTGTCCTTTCGATCGAGCTTCACAAAAACAACGCAGCAGTGGGCATGAAACTAATTTGGGACGCTATGAGCAGTGGATAGGAGATGGTGATAAAAAGTACCAAAAACAGAAGTATGCCCATGGTACTGCTTGTTGGAATGGACCTCAACGCATAACAATTGTAGACTTTAAATGTGGTCTTGAACATGCAATTAAATCTGTAGCAGAACCTAATCGCTGTGAATACAACTATGTGTTTGAAACACCAGCTGCTTGTGATGGCGTGGTAGCAGACGACACCCGTCAACGAGATGAACTCTAAAATAAGGAGAAAATGAGATACAAGTGCTCACATTCATATTTTGAATGAACCTTCAGTAGATATTTATCCACAAGTATGTGTCTAGTGTCGTTTTAATTATAACGGAAAAAGTTAAGTGTAAACTCAATGTATTTAATAAATGTAATTTATACTGAATTTTAGGATCATCATCAGCATTCCTTTGATTGTAAATCATACGTGCAGGAAATTTATTTGTACACTTTTTATAGTATATACGTAAGTTTAAATAGTAAATATTATTCACTTATATTTAACTGATATATTGACCAACATCATATAAAATGTAATAATTTCCTAATTGAAATAAAGTAAATACTTCCGATCGCCTATTCACATAACTATAATATTACATGATTATTATAAGAAAAATACATCAAATCTAGTTTGACTTTTATTTAAAAAAAAAAATCATTCAAGAAATCTGAAGTATATCAAGAGTAAACCTGCACAGATTGAAAAATATATATCATAAGGTATCGAATGTATGTATGTACATATATGCTTTTAGAAAAGTGAAAAACATCAAATACGATTACGCTTCATTTACGGCCAATTTAATATCCTCTAAGTGTGCATCTAATTGGTGTTCTAGAGCTAATATATGGCCAGTATTGCAGTGCTCACCACCAACAAAAGTAAGAATCAGTGGCAATTTGTTCATTTGCACTACCTGTAAACAAATGTACTTATATATATTGACATAATGAAAAGGGCTATAAATGTTCTTTATCCAACCTGATAATTTGAATACATCGATATAATTACTTTGTTACGCCCCAAGCCCAATTTTCCTGCTTGTTCACTGGCTGTTGCAAAAGTGGGTATGAAGGAAGGCATTAGCGCGAAGTCAACATTCTTATCCTGACTTACTCGTAACAGTGGTACTCCATCTCTGTCTGTAACTTGTATTATATAGAGACCATTGACCCTATGGCGATTAAGAAATTAGCAATTTATAAAAGATAACGCATAATATTTTTAACAAATACGCACTTATGCAGTAGACCATTGAAATATTTCTTTACTTCATCCGTCATATTTCAAGAGATTCTGCGAATCCTGCAAATCCTGGTCACAATATTTCACTTACAAAAACTAGCTTTCTAATCAAAACAATCCACAATTCGTATATATTCCTTGATTAGTAAGTGATTGCTACATTCAGCTGTTAAAATAATCAAATAGGGTTCTCGATTCTCTACTGGAGAATTAATCCAACGAGATTTTGTCATAGTACCATGGTTACCAATCTTATTAAATTATTGAAGTATAGTAAAAACGAGAAAACTTATTGTACTTACGATTATGACTGTGAATTGGGGAGAAAACATTTACTATGGTGTAAACAATTTTTTTAATATGCCAAATGAAAAGTAAAAATTTTGACAATTGAAATTTAAAGCAAACGGAATTACGTTGCTAGGTTGCTTTATAAAATTGTTAAATATATTCGTAAAATTATTCAAATTTATAGAAAACATTAGTATTTGCTAATCAAGCTACTCATTAAACTAGAAAAAATGTGTTAATTTACAGATTCTTTGTTTTGTAATTAAGCGATATATCCAAAAGAAAACTTAATTTCTTTTAAAATGCGTCTCTATCAAATTTCCATCGTGATCGACTTTATCGATAGTTTCAGAAGTACTTACTCACCACTATTTGACACAAATTTTAACTTTTGTTCATCATTAAACAATATAAGTCAATGTGTTGAACTTTTCTTATGGCTAATAGTGTTTTATTGTTACAGAATTGAACAACAACAAATAAAATAAGAATAATGGCTTTTCTACGAGGGTCCCTTAATTATGTGTGGTGCACGACGAGTGTACTTGGAAAAGGAGCAACTGGGTCGGTTTTTCAAGTAAGTATAAATATTGAATATTTTACTCGGTTGTCACTAAAAGTAATGCGATAATGTTCTCAAACAGGGAGTTAATAAAAATACAGGCGAATCTGTTGCAGTGAAAACATTTAATCCTTACAGTCATTTGCGCCCACCGGATGTTCAAATGCGCGAATTCGAAGCACTCAAAAAGCTACACCATGAAAATATTGTCAAACTATTGGCAATCGAAGAAGATCAAGAAGGACGGGGCAAAGTAATTGTTATGGAACTGTGTACCGGTGGTAGTCTTTTCAATATACTCGATGACCCTGAAAATTCTTATGGATTACCTGAGAATGAATTTCTCTTGGTGCTGGAACATTTATGTGCTGGCATGAAACATTTACGTGACAATAATTTAGTACATCGCGATTTAAAACCAGGGAATATAATGAAATTTATTTCGGAAGATGGTCAAACCATATACAAGCTAACTGATTTCGGTGCCGCCCGTGAATTGGATGATAATCAAGCGTTTGTTTCACTTTATGGAACAGAGGAGTATTTACATCCAGATATGTATGAACGCGCTGTGCTACGTAAACAAATAAATCGCTCATTTACTGCAAATGTGGACTTATGGTCTATTGGTGTCACTCTTTACCATGTAGCAACTGGAAATTTACCATTCCGTCCTTTTGGAGGCCGTAAAAATCGCGAAACAATGCATCAAATTACCACAAAAAAGGCCTCGGGCGTAATTTCGGGCACACAACTATCCGAAAATGGACCAATCGAATGGTCCACTACACTGCCATCATATTGCAATTTGTCAGAAGGTCTAAAGACACTGGTGACACCGCTATTGGCTGGTTTGTTAGAAAAAAATCGAGAGAAAACTTGGTCGTTTGATCGTTTCTTCCAAGAAGTAACATTAATTTTGCGTAAGTTCGTTTTGCATGTTTTCTTCACAAATCGCACAACTTCTGTGGAGGTTTATCTCGAACCAGACGAACAAATTGATAATTTTCGTGAACGCGTATTTCTACAAACCGAAGTACCAATAGAAAAGCAAATATTGTTATTCAATAATGAACATTTGGAAAGAAAGGTGACGTCCTCTTCCATATGTAAGTGCTGAAGCGGCTATTTAAATAAATACACTTTCTGTTAATTCATTTGTAATTTCCTTTTTTGTAGCTAAAGCTTTTCCTAAAACTACAGCTGAAAATCCAATATTTCTATATAGTAATGATGACAATAATGTACAACTACCCCAACAATTAGAATTACCTAAGTTTCCAGTATTCCCAACTAACGTGTCGGTTGAAAATGATGCCAGTCTTGCCAAGGTGGGTTATTGATATTTCGAACTGCGTTTGTTTTAGTGTGTATTTTATTTATTAATTTTTAGGCTGCTTGTAGCGTTGGTCATGAATGCAAGAGACGTATTGACACCTTTACATCCATGGATATTTTAATGAAGCGTTCTGTAGAACAATTCATAGCAATGTTAATAACAACTATAACTTTACTACTAAAGTATTTATCCTTTTACATTTTTGTAATTCAAATAGCGTTTAAAATAATATATTTTTTGATAGAAAAACAAAACATTTGGAGAATCTGCTAACAACAACACTTGATTATGCTGATGCAGTTAAACGTATTGGGAATTTAGTAAGTATACATACATATTATAATACCTATGGATAGCCTGTTCAGGTATAAGTTTGCCACGAAGTTCAGAGACTCCATAAAGTATATGTATGTAGATATATGGGTCATTCCATCCAAAATGTACATTAAAAAAATTTTTTTACCTTGTGTTCTTTAAGGCAAAAATTAGGCACGTATTTTCTATTTCGACTCAATATAAAAAATTTTGGAGTAATGAATTTTCAAAATTCCAAAAACCAGTTCCAAATTGAAAAAAAATATTATTTGTTTATAAAAATGTACCTTTTGTTTATAAAAAAGAGTCGAATTAATTCAACGTACATAAATCTCATTAGAAAACTGAGAAAAAATCGTAAACATTAGGACGACTAGTTATTTTAATAATGAAATACTTTTCTTCGTTTACGCAAATGTTTAAAAGTACTTTTTCAAGCGCTTAAATTTTGCAAATTCATAACTCCAAATTTTTTTCATATTGAGTCGAAACGAATGTCTAATATTTTGCCTCAAAGAATGTGTCGCACGAAAAAAAAATTATGAATGTAAATTTTGGATAGAATGACCCATATATATACATATATAAGCGTGACGAGCTGAGTCGATTTAGTCATGTTCCTTTGTCCTTTTTTTGTCTGTTGATACGCAAACTAGTCCCTCAGTTTTTGAGATTGCGATTTTAACTTTTGCACACGTCCTTTTCTCTCCAAGAAGCTGCTCATTTGAGCGTCGATTGTTCGATGTTTTCTGTTGTATAGGATACGAACTAGCTGAGCGTTTAGGACATTAAGTGCTGTGGTGATGCTGTGCACTTTACGGAGGCTATGTTAATGGTCTGCTAGACTCCGATGGTGAGTGGAGGTCGTGAGCAACAAGGCCTGAAGTACCTTTACTACTGGGGAAAGGAGAGTTAACGGACGATAAGACCCTCCGAGGTTTTCCCAGGTTTCAGGGGGACCACTCTTCTGACTTTCCACACATCGGGTATAAGAAGAGTGGTCAGTGACAGATTGAGGAGGAACATATCACCCAAGCGGAGACTAGGTAACCGTTACAACAACAACAACAGATTGAGGAGCTTAATTAGGATTTCGACGATTCGGCATTTTGGCATTTGTACAGCCACCGGGTAATATTCTGTAACACGCCTTGTCAGTTCACCTTGTAGGTGCACCGTAAACTACGGGTCAAATAGCATGACCATCGAATTGAATTTCAACCCGATCGTCAGGTCTCTTCGGATTGGACAAAGCGTTGGCAATAGTCCAAAGCTAACTTACACGATGGAGAGATTATAGGACTGCAAGTGCTTCACCCATTTCGTCCGCTTATGCTAAATATAATATTTCAAGATACTTTTCTCCTTATTAAGTAACGCAAATTCGGCTTTAAGACTGTTTATATCAAGGAACATGGCTAGAAAGGACTAAGAAAACCTTTTCCGCTGAATGCAAACCGTTGGTCCGTTTTCAGATTTAGTGAAAGATAAAGTTGCTATAAGAAATGCACCTGTGAGGGTTATAATACCTTCGGTGCAGCCGAAGTAAACGTTTTTTTATTGTTTTTAATTAATAAATTACAAAGAAGTTGTATGCTTTCATCGATTTCCTTCTGTTTTTTTTTTAGACAAAATCAGACAATGAACTTAAACCAATAATTTCCACTCTTTATGATCTGAAGCCCAATTTCGATGATGCTGCCGACGTAATAATGCAAATGTATAAGCATTTCGTCGCTGAAGATGCTCTGAAGTGCGTCCTTATATATTTTTAAAATATTAAATTAAAAAGTTCATACTTTTAGTGATCAGTGGTCATCTGCCATGCACGGCAAGCGGTGTCCTTGTCGCACCAGGGCTAGTCCGCGAGCAAAGTATTTGGTGGAGCGGCTGCGTGATTCATGGCAACACTTGCTACGTGATCGCGCAACACGTACCCTCACATACAATGACGAGCAATTCCATGCTTTGGAAAAGATAAAAGTAAGCAATTTAGCTAATGTGATGGTTTTTAACTGCCAAAGAAGGTTAAGCCAACAATAGTGTAACTCTTATTTTAATTGTTATCATCTTTTTCTTGATAGGTATTTCGTAATGGCGATCGCATCAAAGCTTTGCTAATTGATGACGTTAAACCCGCCGTAGCGCAAATGGCCGAATGTCTGGCCGATTGGTATAAACTAGCACAAACCGTCTATCTTAAAACACAAATATTGGAAAAAGACGTACGCGATTATGAACGTAAATTAAACGACTTACGTGATGAGTTGTATCATTTGAAGTCGGAAATGAAAGTCGATGAAAATAGTAAAGCGACTACAAACAATAATAATAAATTATCAAAGAACATACAGAAAAGTCTTATTAAGGTGTGTAAATTTTCATGTATATAAATATATTTTTGTAAATGTATAAGTATTTTTTTTTATTTTAGAAAATTCACAAACAACACGAAGAAGTATTACAAATAATGAATCAAAATGCAATGCTCATTAATCGGCTTAAGGAGTTGGGCATTGAATGCGGCGGCGTAAAGCAGTTTGAAACAGTGAAAAACAAAACGTAATCAATATTTTATTGAAAAAAAAGATAAGACTGTGAGAATAACTGCAGGGACTCGGGGGTCTATTTTTTAAAATTCTATGAGAGTTTTCATATATACAAAAGCTATTTGCATATTCTAAAGCTAAACATTTATGTTTTCTACAGTACACGACATAATAGTATATATATACATTTGTCTCATATTTGATTTTTTTCCTGAGTCCTAGTAAATCTGTTATAGAATAAGTATTCAGTAGACTTTGAAATACAATACATTGATGCAAAACCATTTTATTGAGTCTAAAACTGTATGAACTGAGCTTGTGCATCCAAATTAATCTTGGTTGGTGAAATACCTATAGTTATGTCT